TGGAATGAGGTTGACAGCGATCCCACATGGAGAACCTTTTTCAAGGGGAGAGGTCTTCTTCGGTAAAGTTCGTGGAACATGAGAAGATTTAGCCTCCATCAACCGGCCCGGCTTTGCTTTTTCCCACACCGGCTGACTCTTGTTTCTCGATGTCTGGCCGCTCTGCGCGTCTGGCCGCCAACGCATTGGACGAGTCATGGTTCATGGAGACTTCTTGGCAGAGCCGCCGTTCGTCGTCCTTTTTCACTTTTGGAAGCAGCGAATGAGTCCGTAGCATCGACATGAATCATGCTGCTGGGGCATTCTTCATCCACCTATTTGATGGGGCAGCTGATCCACCTATTGGCATGGAATCACAGGATTACTGGGGAAATCGCCCTGTAGGCTAATTTGTTCATGAGGGAGGTTAACAATATGTTCTAGTGATATATCTTGACATAACGAGTGGGAAGGGAATTGGGCAATTGGACATATTGGGTTTGAAAAGAGGGAGCGCGATCAGGAGGCAGCCAACCCGTTATAACCCATTACAGGAGATGCACTACTATGGGTGAGAAAACACTCACGGACAGTCCATCAAAGACTATCAAAGACTCCAAATTCATGGGTCGGGGTTGTTAATAAGATTTAATAAGTTAATCCTGTCGTGATTCCATTAATTACTGATGACCCCCATACTCGACGACAAATCTAAGGCCCCGCGCACGCAGGAGGCTGGGCGAGTTCCTTGGGGCCTTAAGTATTAGTTGAAGCCGAAGCCCAAGGTCTCCAGGAAAAGATAGGAAAAGCAATCTAGTGCTGTGCCGATCAATGCATTTTGTCTCTAAGCTCCAAGAGTTTCTTCATCTGAATCAATCAGGAGCCCGCCCATCCAATTCTGAATTGATGTGTCCTGTTTACACAAAGGGCAAGGACTGGGAAGAGTTTTTGAGGCACTCCTTAGCTGGTTGGATTCTTCACCTTGTGACAGCCTGGGAGACAACCCTTGGGACAGCTGTGTCCCTTCTTTGGGGATTGTTTACAGCCCTCCCCTCTGAAAAGACCTAACTTGAGCCTCCCCATGGTCAGTTTCAGGTGGTGAAAAGGGGCAGAAAGCGGGGTGAGAATCGAATCGACCACCATGGCATTTCGGGGCCAATCAACCCATTTCGATAGCCTGATGACTTGCAAGACTGGAGCCATGACTAGCAAGCATTGTATGCCAGGAAGAACACTTGAAAAAGACCCTGCCCCTGTTTGAGATCGTTGGTCCATTTTTTGCGGGGCGTCCAAAACTTGGGTCTCTCCGAAGCACTCTAAGAATGTAGCTTTGGTAGGATTCTACAGTATGTATATATATATATATATAAATATGTCTCATGTTCCAAGTGGTTCGGATGGCCAAGCTCCTTTGCGTGTAGAGCAGATCAGCAAGAGTCAAAGGCAGCTTGTCCGGGTGCACAAGCAGCAACATGCGGGGACATCTCCCTGCTTCAAGCAGATTGATACTGGTAGGGAATCCTTGGTTGGAACATGGTGAAAACTTCGGACTTGCAGGGGTCACTTCGGACTTGCAGGGACTTGTTGACACTGGCAAATGGCTGTGGGTCAAAAGCAGTGCCCTACAAACCATGCGACTCGGTTGGCATAGAGGACTCGGTTCATGTTCGATGGTGAACCATGGTAACCCAAATGGTCCATAGTCCATTGGAACTCCCAGCATCTTCTCCCAGCTCCAGGCCCGTCCTACGAGCTCGGAGAAAAAGCGGCCGCTCCAAGAGATTTTATCGGGGTGATGTTGTTTGGGTTCCAAGTTTTGCAACAGAGAGAGAGAGAGATTCTGGAAGGTTGGTTTTGAAGGATGTTTGAGGGCTTTCTTTTGTTTTAAAGGAAGATGACCTTTATGATGTTTCTAGGTGTACCTGTGAACAGAGATGAAAACAGCGGGTGAAAAGAGGCTTGGACTGGACTCTGTTTCAGCCTGGAGGGTTCACCTGCCTGGTAGTCCATTCTGTTCATGTTCTGGGCAACAAAGGTCCCCCAGTGCCATGGCTACCTTAGCCAACACATGACCGGGCTCAACCGAAACCACCCCCAAACCGGCAGAGGGGTATCACAAACCAACACAGTTTCAGCGCGCATCTGGCATCACGGGATGCATCAGGGAACTTTGGTTTTTTGGACTCGCATGGAGACACTCGGAGACATGTGATCACGTAGTTTCAATAATATCAGGGAAGTTGCAAATGAGTTCTCCATGAGATGAGTCCATCCTGTAATTAAGTACTGGTATAGATCGATGTGTTCTTGATATGGCCAACTATGTCAAGAGTTGCTTCTGGATGGCGGTTTTTCAAACATGTTCAATCAGTTGGATGCCCCTAGAACATCCTAGAACCCCATGCTGGTAAATGGACATGTTTACTTGGTCAACTTGCAGACATTTCTGGGCCGAACGCGACCCGTGGCCCCGCATGTCGATGTCGTTCAAATGATAATGGTCACCAATGGTTCTGAAGATGCATCAACTAATGAACTGACCAAGGAGTTTTCCGCGGGGTTGGAGGCCATTGCTACTAGGGTGGAGGCCATCTCTATTGGGTTGGAGGCCACGTTCTTTCTGTTTCAATCGATTCTTGAGAGCTCGTGTTCCTCAGAGTTCAAACTTGCTCAGACATGCCTCACCTTCAACGCCCTGGTTTGGGCTGAAGGGGTCTAGTGCATGCATTCAGCTATTTGGGCTAGAAACTGCTTGAGAGGGGTTGAAGAAGCACGTGGAAGAAGTTCTGCGATCCTTTGATTTCTCACTTACATTCATGCATTGATGGTCTGTCCTATTACCAGTAACAGCCAGTAAACAAGTATTTTTCTTATAAGAAAGGCCTTAATGACTAACCATCATGAACCACTATAACTGGTAATGGGATGGATTTCTCTTGCAATGACAGACCTCCCCCAAAACACTCCGAAAGAACCGACAGACTTTGTGCTTGGAGGAATTTATGCAACATTTCAGCTCGACCCATTCGTGGTTTAGTCGCAACACGTTTGCCCGGGTTTGCATGAAGAAACCATCCACAAGGAAGCTGTACCCTGTTATACAGACTACCCTTATTCATGGTGTACTCTGAACATTTAAATTTGGAGTAGAACCGTTGGCTAGGCCTGAATTACTTGCGCCGGTATCCACATTATTTCACATTCACATCCCAAGGTATTTGTTTGCGCTCTCCGTCACGAAATGCCAGTTTCTTGAGATGAAGGAAGTCATTGCATGTCATGGCAACAGAGAGACATAGAGAAGCACTGTGCGAGGGCTGTTCCCTTGCCTGCAGCCCCTTTACTGGCAGGCCGGTTAGAACCGCGCCATGCAGTGCTCCATGCAGCTCATTTGGGGAGATCTTCATCAAACTTTTCCAGCTCATCTTCAGACCTGCCCCGTCATCCGACCCACAAACTTCTTGGAATCTTTCCTGTCATTCTCGGTGCATGAACAAGTATTTTGCTTCAAGTATTCCTTGATTCTTGGGCAAACAATATAGGCATTCCGCTGTTGCCACGGCTTTATTCAAGACTGGCTTTTTAACCCAACTATACTCACATGCTCCCGTTTCCTTGGATGGGGCCCAAAAGCATCTCTCTCTCTCTCTCTCTCTCTTTCTTCTGGGTAGACAATCCACGTGTCACTAGAAGCAAAAAGTGGGGCCCAGACAAAACCTCCGTGAGCCTCTGTTTTGTTTCGATCTTCAGGTATGTAAATGGACTACGGGGATACAGAAGGTCTGCTCCTTGAGGGGCTGCTGGATCCATAAAGCGCCCAGCAGACAAACAAGTTTTCCCCAGACATGATAGTAGATGTTTTGGCAATGTTGTACCCAGGAATGTTGAACATGAAGTTACGGTAAAGTTGCTAAATTGTTCATTGCAGCTGCTTCGTAGTCCTCGAATGTCTATACTTGACCCAGACTACCAGATCAGGGTTTTAAGCCCAGACCTGTTTGTGACCGTTTGTCGTGACAATATCACAGGTTTGGGCACTTACGAAGGCTCATTAACTCATGAGCTTGCGATACGTTACCCATCCCTTCAAGATGTGTTCTTCCGAATCATCATTGAACATCTGAATTTGATGGAACATCTCCGCAAACACAAAATGTCCATGCCGGTTTCTCAATGATTGACATTTGATGACTCAACCTCAACCCTAATAGCGTCGGCCACCAACCTAAGAGCGATGGCCCCCCCCCCAACCTACTAGCGATGCCCTCCAACCTAATAGCGATGGCCTCCAACTTACTATCGATGGCCTCTGACCTCCCAGCGATGGCCTCCAACCTACTAGCGGCGATGGGCTCCAACCTACTAGCGGCGATGGCCTCCAACCTACTAGCGGCGATGGCCTCCAGCCTACTAGCGGCGATGGCCTCCAACCTACTAGCGATATCTAGTGATGGCCTCCACTCTAATAGCGATAATGGATGTGTTCTTTGCAAAACAACCCTTCGAGGCTCAGCAAGTTGATGCCGGCTGCGGCCTCAAGAGTCGGCCCCAATCGCCCGCTTGGTTTCAAATGGTGCCAGTCTTGTGCTTCCTGCGACACTAGAACAATATTGGGAAGTTTGACGCGGAACAGCAAGCTTGATACAGACGACCCTGCATGTTTGTGCCTAAGCCCCAGAGACCGACCAAGTGTTTTGGTATGTTTTTTGGTGTTTCTTTCAAGCACGATAGTTTATGTTAGGCTTCCTGAAGAGCGTCTTCTAGCTATAGGGAAGCTGGCCGGGATGTTTGCATCGAACCAGCGTGTTTATACTTTAAACAGAGTCTGGCCACTTGGATGACCATGTTCCTCGACAAGCAGGGTGGTGCCATCCACTTCCATGATGATTTCAGATATTTCCGGTATTGTATACTAGTAACAAGTGCATCGCTACTAGTAATAAGTGCCTTACTAGTAGTAACAAGAAGCTAATAGAGGCATGGAAGGCCTGATTTCTGGTTTCGATCCACCTCCGACTGAGATGAAATTTGAGCATCGATGCTTACAGTGGCTGGACGATGGCCATGCCAGGTGGATCGTGTTTTGACGTCGTGGGACGGGGCCCGAAGCTGGGCAAAGCGGAACACCCCACAAAATATTGCATACATCATCGGTCCTGCAGCTGTCCGGCCATGCAGTCAAGCAGAGAAAGGACAAAGTATACTGTAATTAATTAATGGTGATGAATTGAAGAGGATGAAATCGATTTTGTTGCATTCATTCATGACACATTGCGGCCCTTGTGAAAAATACAAAAAAACTAGATATTAATATATAGATATAGATACGGCACCCCTTGATTTCAAGGCCCAGTGGGAACATAACCAGGTGAACGCCGTACGAACTGGCCATGCCAATCAAAACCCCACACAGTGGCACACGAAGGCAAAGTTTCCTGTTTTTGTTTCTGGCTTGACTTGAAGCTCAGATTATGGATCGGCCGGGGACTGGCACATGTTGCCACCTGTTTTTGTGTACCGGCCTTAAGATCTCACACCATCGGGCAGGTGTAACGGCAATGTTTGTGTCATTTGTAATGACATTATGTTTCCACCTGCATAGAAGGCAACAAAAGGAGTGCTGCGCAGCATGTCTCTTGTTTTGGGTGTTTGTTTTGGCCTGTGGTTTCAAGTGTTGACAGTCCCTCTAAGCAAACAATTTCAGGTTCCATGAGTTGGGACATGTTTGACACGGCAGTTTGATGCTGGACGCCAACGAGAACCAGGAACTCGAGGAGCTTCGACAGGAGCCTCCACAGCTTGGGCTGGGTGACATCTCGGTGTGCAAGGGTCGTTTGTTAGTAAAAACCCGGTAACACATACGAGGAACAGATGGACACCTCAAGGATTCTAAAAATGGTTGCTATTGTTGCATAGCATCCCTGCAACAACACCAGTGTTTTAGTGTTTGCTGTGGGCCATGTACCTTGGCCGTGCCCAACGGCGGCATCCCTCATTGCAGTTGGCTGCTTTCTGAAAGCTGGCAACAACTCCAGTGCCCAGCATGTTACGATTTAATCGGGAGGTGGGCCTTGGCGGCCAAGGGCTGATCAAGGAGGCCGGACAAGATGACGAAGGCAGAGTTTGTTTGAATGACCTGTGCTGGCAGACCATCCACCAGTGGGCTGGCAGACCTGCTTTCCGGAGAGGTTAGGGCACGTCATCCCCATCGTCTCCTCTTGATATCGGCCTTAGCAATGTAAGTCGGACATATAGGACACCATTTGAAGGACCGGTCGAGTCATTTGAAGGACCGGAAAGGTCAGAAACGGACCACATTGTGTGGTTTGCACGCATGAGTGATTGATAGGCACTCCAGGCATCTCCAGGCTAACATGTTACTATTTGTGTTCACCAATGCTGGTATTTCGGCCCAGCCTAGCCCCTTACATGTTTTCTTGTGTTGTTTTCGTACGGCATGATCTTCCATGGTTTTCTCGTCCTCTCGTCTGTTTGGGTCGATGAACTGCAGGAGGTCATGGCTCGCCGCGACAGCGCCATCGTCGCCTGCATCGTGGAGATCGTGGTTTCGGCGCCCTGGGGTCCTGCAGAGTCGGTCGACGCAGCGCTGAGGAGTGAGAGACGCAGCTGGCTGATCCCCAAATAAAGAAGGTGAGTGAGAGAAACCTAGGGGGGACTAGACCAGAAGAATTTGGGATTTGTACATGGACTAAGTATTTCTGGGTACGAATCACTAATCGAACATCACCTGGTCACCTGGAACCACCAAAACTGTAGAAATTCCTTGGCGGATTTCCCACATGGTGCCGGTTTTCTCCCAACGGATCCACCCTTTGCCTGGTGCGTGGCAGGCCGCTGCCATGGCGCTCTATGACCTTCGACGGACCTTGCTGGTGCCACTGGCCAATAGCGTCACTCAGCTGACGAAAGGCGATGGCATGCAGGTGTGTAGGGTAGACTCATTGATTATATTTCAAGTCCCCAACTCATTGATTAGCGTTTCACAATCCACATGAAGAGGTTTAGCTTTTCAGCAGCATGAGTCTACGTGAGTGGAATAGGGAGAGACCCTCCCCTCCAATCTATCCATTGGGGTCTCTATTCGAAGGTCTTTCTATTACCAAACCCATATATCATGTATTTATTATATATATTATATTATCATATTATATATATATATTACCACACCCATAAATGTTTGTTTTATTTGGCTCCAAGCTCCTTCGGACCTGCCGGTGGACCTTGTCCTACTCATCCTATAGGGTGTGTGTGCGTGTGTTCACGTCCAACCCCTTCGACCAGGAGTGAACCATCGGAGTTCTGAGGCATTCCACGTGGGACCAGGCAGGCACTTCTGCATGTCTATTCATGTTCACCCCATCTGGAACAGGGAAAAAAAGTGAACAGAATAATTTGGTCCTTAGAGAAGGGTGGGGTCCAAATGGGTCCAAAGGATGTTCTAAGCATCACATTCACGGTGACATCACTACGTATACATCCATGTTAAACTCCCATCATCCCATCTCATTCACATCGAACTCAGCGTCGAACTGGCGGTCCGAAGCCGGTCCGTGATGTGGGGTGATGTGGGGATCCGACACTGACCATATCCGAAGGAGGGAAAGGTTCGGAAAGGACCCCCTCCCTGGAATGGACACGGGTAGGTTTGGCCAGAATGGCCAGGTGGTATCGGTTTGGCTCAGAATCCAGATGAGCCATGGAACTGGAAGAACAAAGTGTGGGGTGCTGAGGGGTGGTGTTCAGAGTCAACGGTAAATCTTCCTGTCCCATGGAGTGTTTGAACATACAGTAGTTGTTGATACTCATTGTTGACGGTTGATTTTTTCCCTTGGCAGGACCTGGAGATGTGAAATCTGGTAGGTGTCTCTTGATTCATCAACAGTCAATGCTGCAAAAGAAGACTCGACTCGAAGATCACATGAAATCAGATTGTCCATTGGAAACACCACTTTTGTGATGATCCATGATGATCCCCCTCGTCCCTTCCGGCATAGAACCCCTCACTCAGCTGAGGTTTTAATTATACTGGCCTCCGTGGGCTTGCATGGGGCGTTGCGCTTGGAACTTGTCAAGGTGCAGGCAGCCCCTGCAGCCAGCCGTCGCGGCATGCGGATGGACGGGTGCTCATCCGATATCTTCCAATTGGGTTGGCCCGAAACGTGTCACGAAGGTATTGAGCTGGGGCAGAGAAATGGGGTAATGAACGATCACACACAATTCGAAAATGCACGCATGTCTTGGGCATCCGAAAGACGTGGTCGCAATTCGGTCGGTTGAAGCGGCTTTTTGATTTTCTTCTGACCATGCCAGCAATGGAGAAAAATCTCAGGACCGACCCAGTCTCATAGACACGGCAAAAAGGCACATTGCTCAGGGGGTCTTCGTATGCCATTGAATCAGGGCATTGCGTCGGTTGGGGGAGTACTGGTCATCGCGCCGATCGCTGCCAGGGAGCTCCGGACATCGATGCACGTCGTAACTGGTTTTTGGAGAGCCGGAGCTATAACGGCTTGTGGGAGGGAGTTCCAGAGGCTATTTCCCCACAAAGGCTTCCAGGCACCATGGATTTCAAGGCCTTTCCCGAAGAAAGCATGGTTTTGCTAAGGACGTTTTAGGGGACAAGACTCTATAGGGATTGCCACTGTTTGGCTGTGGAATCGGTCAGACTTCAGGAGGTACGTGTCTTGTGGTTTGGTGTTTCAAAAGGCGGTATGTGTCTTCGTTCTCATCGATGAGTTCCTATAGAAGGTCTTTTCGTTCTCATGTTTGTCGTCATGACACGAACCTGGCAGGTCATGACACTCGGCAGGTCATGACACTTGGAGGATCTATGAGTCCATCCGATTGATGTCTTGTCATTTCGAAAGTGGGAGGATCTCTCAACCCCCCAGACCGATGGAGAGGCAGCTTACAAGCCATGTTTGGCAGCTTGTTGAATCAACCAGTCTAACTTACTGACCTACACCGGTGGTCTTCTTTGGCTCCGTTGGGACGGCTGGCGAGGCTCATGGCATTGTGACCACTGGATTGCTCATCGCTTGCTTGGGCAATTTTCTTTGCGAGGCCGTCACCGGGAGCTTGAGTAGCAGGATTGGAGCCATTTGGTGCCCAGTTGGAGATCTTTGGAATTTCCGAGGAAAGGAACACTAAGAGGAGTCATTGGCATTTATTGGGTATTTTGAAGGGTGTTGACTTCTCGGGATATTGGTGTCCCTAGTGGTGTCCCTGCTTCACCGTCACATACTTCAAGAACCCTAAAGTTTACGCTTCTTACTCTGTTCCAACATGGCACTTGCGGTCTACAGGGGATGGAATTGACACGTCCATTTTGCCTGGCAGGTACAGCACGGTCAGATTTCCACACCCGTTTAATTCTATAATTCTTATAGGTGTGGAAATCTGACCGCAACTTAGGTGTCGACATGTTGCACGTAGGATTCTAAGGGGACAGGGTTTGTCCCGTTTTAGAAGTCAAGAAGCGCAACTGTCGGCACCCCAGTGTAGTAAATAAGATTGAGATGTTATAACTCTATGGATCCACGTACCCTTGAGATTTGGAGTATCCAATCGTACCGAACCTGAGAAGGTGGCAGTGGATCCCTAGGGTGTTCTTGTTTGGCAAATGGGGTCATGCCACCTTGAGATGCGTTGACGCCCCAGCCAAACAACCTTGACGCCCACATTGGGATCTGACCATGGGCCGTTCGAAGTGATTTTGACCCGCACGGCTGTTGCTTACACGCATAGGGCTATTATTACATCCAAATTGGCCAGAAGACTATGGCAGAAAGCGCTGTTTCTCATTGGGTATCCTAGGTCCTGGCCGATTTAACACTGCAATTTGTAAGGTTCGGGAATAGACTTTCTAGATGAGTAGACCCAGAACCTTTGTTGATGTAGAGTCCTTGTTCGGCCAAGGCTCCACAACCTACCGTTGGATGATATCTTGCAGCAACAGTCAAACCTCGGCAACCCCCTTTGTATTTTAAATGTAATATATTACATAATTGATCAATATACAAACAACATCAAACAACATATACATACTGTATATGGATATACAGATGGAGAAACTCTGTGTTTCCAGAAACAGGATGCTCATGGTCGGCCTTCCCTTTAATTACCCTTTGCCTTTCGATAAAAAGAGGGGGTCGCCCCAAAGCAAATTCTTCCTCGAGGCTTGTCTTATGCTGTTCTGCTGCTTTTTTGGTGGTCAGGTTCTTTCATGTTCTTTCCCAGTACTTAGGACTCCTGCACATGGATTAAAACCACTGAGCGTGTATTTGGATTCTTCTTTGACACAGGGTGATGTTCCATGGGATCGGCTGAAACGAGGTCTGGAGCCTTCGTCGTTTCGCGGACTCCTTGGGACTCCTTGGTGTCACATCGAATCAGCTGGATTTTTTTCACATATTGTCACCTCCATGCAGTTGTCACCCAACGACAACCGTGCAGGGCATCAATCCTGGGACGTTGAAAGATGTATGTAGATGTTCCACCAGCGACTTCCAACAGGGCTTCCGCGCGACTTCAAAATCCACATGGATGCTTCGCGCAGAACCGGCCTTTTGGGACAATTGAACGCCTTGGATGTCCTTTTCTTTAGGTACCAGTGTAACAAGAAATATATAGATGCTCACAGCTTCATTCTAGTGCTATTTATCCATGTATAGAGTTATCCTAGATTCCTAGATTTATCCTTTGAATGGCAAAAAGTCCGCACTGCAGCTCCGACTTTTCCAGTTCTTTGTCCTTCAGCTTTTGGCCCCGACAAGCACCGACTCGCTCCGCCGCAATCGAAAGTTTTAGAATCCATGGCGACGATGGCGCTCCCACCACAGCCCGTGCGCTTCAACCCAGTGGCTTGGACACACAAACATCAGACGGAGACGATACGCCCCGACGTGAGACCGTCCTCGGCGGTGGTTCGACGTAGACGTCGACGGGGGCGTGTTGCGGCCAAAGGTGTGAAGTGATGCGAACTGAGTCCTGTGAACTGATGGTTTTGACTCGACTTTCCTGCAAAATACCTAGCAAGTCTAGCGGCATCTAGCGATCAATTCGTGGGAGCCTGCCCAGTTCTACCACAACAGTTTTTTGCGAACCATTCATGTGATTCCAAAGAGAGTTGGATGGGGTTCTTTCCCAAACTAAAGTGTTTTTCATGTTTGTGTTTTGCAGGTGTTGTGATTCTTGTTGAACTCTGAATGCGTGATCAAATCTTTGCTCCAACCAGCTTTGACCAGGCAGAACGGACTCGACTTGCCTCACCCGGCTCAACAGGTTGGATATGTTTTCTTCGAGTTGTGGCCACCGACGCTGTCAGGATGCAAATCCCTCAACAGTAGATCTTTGTGAAACCGTCAGAGTCAGATGTGGGAAACCGCTTTTGAGGCCTCCAGGCAGGACTCCAGGGAGGACTCGGAGGACTCTGGAGCATTGTGCATGGGATTAGGGAGACAAACAGTGTATATACCATATATAGTCTACCCATTTCGTGAGCGGTTGGTCTTTTTCTTCGCCCTAGACGGTCAATCTACGAAACCCAGAGACCCTGGTTCCACGGCGGGCTGAGCCGGGACCGTCAACCCCCCGGTCGGAGGTGGTGGTCAAGGGCCTCGCTTTGCGTGCGCAGGAAACATGCGTCGCTGGTAAAGACAGAAAAGGCCATTTGCTTAGGCTGAAGTAGGACGACACGTCTGGGACTGGATCTATGGGCATATGGTGTGTCATATGTGAGAGATCAGATTTGAACGTTCCTTGGATTTTCCCTGCGCCCGAACTGCCTTTCCCAGCTGGAACATTGGGAATCAGCGCGAGGGCTTGTCAGACTTTACTGGATGTTCTGCAAATCCTGCATGTTGGTTCTGTTTCTTGACTCATAGGATCTTGTTCTGTTTTTTCTCATGCAGCAGACAGGACTTTTGTGGGTCTCATAGTTTGAAACACCAAGAAGGACTTGTTTCAATGATCCACAGCTGCAAACACCCAGTGAGTTTTCTTCCGCACAGACCCAAAAAGACATGAACGCGCCATCTGCGATATGCCATGTCCGATCAGCGAGATGTTCGCTGTGCGACACTGAGGTCGAAGTCCAAGAACTTCTTGAAGAAGTTGTAACATTATATGTATCCCGGTGTGAATGTCCCTCCCAGAATGGGCTTGTCGAAGAACACACATTTTGGGACCCTGTGAATCACATATTCGGGGATCTATGAATATGTGCCATGGAAGAGACGTTGTGGCCATGTGTTCACCAAATCCGGTTTCCTTTCAATCAAGTAACTTTGCATGGTTGTGCAACCAACGGGTCAATATGATTCAATATGATTCAATGGACTTGTGACTAGCCTACCTCATTCCTGCTAATTGTTGCATCCCAACATGATTGTCCATTTGCGAAAGATTCCAGATCTATGCCTCTAAGAGGAGAATGATTCCGACAGCGGCTTAGCCCGACAAAAGGCCCTTCCCCAGACGACTTGGTATATAGAGGCAACGGATCCAAGGTGGCACCTGTTTGTTGGTGTTGCTTGTCCCTGTTTCCAATCGCTTTCCAAAGATCGACTCATCCTTTTTTCCATCCAATCGCCACGACCATCCAAGGCTGGTAAATTATGATAAAACAGCAACTCCATGTGTTTCATGTGTTCACACCAGGCCTGCTTGTTCAAGACCCTTTTTGGCTTTTGAGTCGAGTGGGAAGCGACGCAAGTCCGTCAGACCATGTTCGGGACCCCTTACATCGCCGTCTTCAGTGCTCGCCGAGACCAACATGCGCAACACGTGTGCGAAGATGGTGAACAAGGAGCTCGTTGACGCAGGGGAGCAAGGGAGCAGCTCGGTACACATCAATTGCAGAATGGGCTGTTGTAATCCCTTCCACCTATGAACTAAACCCTCTCTTCTGAACAAAAAAGCCTCCTGTGCCTTTTGCAACCTGCATGGGATAGGGTGGATACGGAACACCCACAGATCTGGCCCGAGATTGCAGTGGTGGGATGACACCTTGCAGGGCTTTACAGGGTTGGCAGGTGACTCGCTTTTTGACTTGTTAGCCAGTAACAAACATTGAGTTCCATAGATTCCAAGCAGATGAATCAGGATGAAGAGGGTAATATTCATGAACATTGTTTGTGATAGGTATATATATTAATATATGTATGTGCTATGCCTTCAAAAACTGCGGACCGATGATGCAAGGGTGTTGCCCTATAGCTTATAACAGTTGCCCCGCCCCAAACTGTGCTGAAAGAGGGCCGACCAAACCCATGACCAAGGGCCCACCGTGCGATCGGATTCATTTGTGAAATGATTGGTTTCACGTTGCCAGGCTGTTTGGGGTGAATTCACCCGTACTCAGTGTGTCAGTTGCTTGTTTGAACATTAAGTCCATAAGGAACTGCAAGTTCAAATTCTGAAAGCAGAGCAGAAGTTGCTGGGTCTGGGCCACTTCTAAATTGAGCAACTTTGATTCTTAAAATTTGTGGGCACATGCATGGAGTGTTTGTGCGTTTGGAGCCGTGTTCTTCGCTCGAAAGGGGAGACTGAGACATGGACAACGGACGCCGCTTTGAGGCGCGATGGTGTTGGATGTGGTCAGCAGGTACAGTGGAGACCTGGATATGGAATCGAGAAGGATGGAGATCTTGAAGCAGTAACCACTGGGCCTGTCGCAGTATGGACCAGTTTGGAGGTTGGTCAAACATTCAGTCAGTATGATCTATGAACTATTCCATACCACTTCACCTAGAAAAGGCTCAGCATGTTCCAATCCCTTCCTAGTATTTCAAGGGGTGGGCCATGATGTGACTGAAGAAGTTCCTCGAGATACCTAGCTGAGACCGTGCACGGGGATGACACTCAAACCATGTTCGCCATTCATGGGTGGTGAACAGATGATGATCCAGACAATTTGAGCTTTACTGCTAGGTTGGAGGCCATCGCTAGTAGGTTGGAGGCCATCGCTAGTAGGGCGGAGGCCTTCGCTAGTAGGTTGGAGGCGTTCGCTACTAGGTTGGAGGCCATCGCTAGAAGGGTGGAGGCCATAGCTAGTAGGCTGG